AACGGTTCGAGTCGGCCCCATAACAAAAATGTTAAAACAAAAAAAAAAAAAAAAAAAAAAAAAAAAAAAAAAAAAAAAAAAACAAGAGCAATGCTAGGCAGTAGGAATACTAACCACGTGCACTCTCCGGCCAACACTTCCATTTCATTGGGCCACGTTAGAGGTCATCATTTCATGGCTAAGTAAGCTTAGGTGGCCCAATAAAAAAGCATGTGTTGGCTGGAGAGTGCAGGAGGCGAGTGCCCCTAGCAGCTAACATTGTCCAAAAAACAGCTAGCACTGCCCAGAAAACAACACCAATCACGTATCAACATACTACCCATTAAAAAGAGTACCCCTCCATTGCTTCACCTTCTTCGCCTTATCATCTTCCTTTCTTTTCTACCATTTTTCTCCATTCAAGCTCACTTCCTGATCCTTATCTACTCCTTTTTCTCTTTTTCTGGCAACAAATTTTATCCTTCTTTGCTTGAGCAGTGAGCAGCAGCAACCAAATTCTACTATGTAAGGCTGGCTCCACATGATTTGGGTCACCAAATAGATTTCCATCCTGTCAGTGCCTGAGATGTGAGCAGTGGCAGTGAGCAGCGGCACGCCAACACCGCAGCAGTCCAAAATCTTTCCCTCCCTTGCGGCAAATTTCTGAAAATCTCTTCTTCAATTTTTGTGAAAGTAAAATGGAGATTTCAAACGATTTTCAAAAAAATCGCGCTTTTACGTTTTTATCATCCGATTTTAAAATAGATTTTACTCGGAATCCATCCATAACATCGTAAAATCGTAAGATTTTAGGATATAAAACTCGAGTTTGACAACACTGATTATAATGGATAATTACCTTTTGTTCAAAAAATTGCATCTAATTCACATAGATATGTTGAGTATAAATTCGTAGAGTCTAACTCATTAAATTAAAATGCCCATTATGCACCTGACCTTTCGGGCCAAGTGTTTGACTAGTTTGAAGGTGCAGTTTTTTTTTTTTTTGTGAATTCGAAATTTGAATTT